AATCTTGCTCTATACTTGTAATTATTGACAAAATTAAAGACAATGCACATTACATTACATTAAAATTAAATAATTAAAATAATTTTTTGTTATGTGGAAATTTTTTTTGTTAAACAGAGCTGTTTGTGACACATAATCAAACCAAGACCTTTCACTCTCACTTGACACATAAAATTAGAATATTTTCCAATTAATAATACAAGTACTGTCAGTAAGATGAGACGACTGCATGTCTATTAAACTCACAGACCCAACCTTTTTAAATTTCCCCAGGCACTGAATAACATATTCAAGTTAAATTTGTATGCCTGCAGATCGCTATGTAAACATGTCATCATTTCAGTAATGTACAGTTTTAGAACAGTCAAATTTACTTGATGCATGATCACGAATATCAACAGCATTAATACATAATCACTCACTACAGATGAGCAATTTACATAGTAACTAAAAAACCAACATAGTATCCATGGTGAACCACTATTACAAACACACAAGTTCAAAGTGAGATTTTTAGAATAAATCAGTTGGCATACAATCTAATATTTCACTACATCACAGTCCCTCCACAACCGGTTATGAAACGGTCAGATATCTATTGTTACAATGCGTGTTTCGGTTAATCCGTTGTTTTTTTAACAGCTTAATCGTTGTTTATTTCGCTAGCAGTAAAATACGGACGTCCTGCCATCTTTCCCCAACATTAACATAAAATTAGCATATCCGATGATGTAATTTCTCCCACAAAGCATTGCGTTTCTTTAGTGCGCATGCATACTTTCAATGTTTTCATTTGTGTCAACATAGTTTTTACTTCCCTGATCACTCTAAAATATTACTGTAATGTGGAAATCCTACGATGATTTCGTCGATTTTGACGATGAAAATGTCGATTGGCCATCAGATTTAGAGGAGGAAAGCCGTGATGTGGAGTCCGATTTAGACTACGAGCCAACAGTGGACGAAGCAATGACTGGCGACAATACAAAATCGCTGTCGTTTCAGGAAACAATATACACAAAATAAGAATAAATGTGAACAAAAAACTAGCATTACAGTAAGTATTGATGAATATATGTATATAATCAGTGACGAAATCACAACGTTTTCAAAAATGAAACCGATCTACCGAGTGGCAGCCATTTTGTTTTACACACAAAAAAACAAACGAGTTGCGAAATAAACGATTTCAATTTTAATACATGTCCTATAACACAATAAACTGAATTAACCTTGTAAAATCCTATTCAATTTTAAAATAATTTGAAAAATTATCATTATATATTCGATAAAGTGTCAACAATTTGGGTCAAAACTACCGACATCGTCATAACACAAATGCAATGACAGATTCTAAAACTGCCCCTGAAGTTCCCAGTCACAAATCATTTGATACCTCGGATAAAAATGACATACACGACCTAATATTCACTCAATATGTTCCTGACAACTAAATAAACTCAAATAATAGCGTCAATTACGAAATATATTTGAAGAAACTATTACACTACGTTGATTTCTCCGACTCGACCAACGACCGACCTCAGTGTGAGCGCTTCAGCGTGAACTATGACGTCATAACTTCAGCTGGAAGGCTGAAACACGCATTGCTTCTCAATCTAAGCTCGTTCACACCTTTTGACAATAGCGTTTCATAACCGGTTGTGGAGGGACTGTGACTACATATATAGATTCAAGGATGCCTAACACTGCAAAGAAGCTAAACTGAACAAAATACTAAATTTCAAACAAGGGCTTACTTCTAATGTTTTGACCATGGCAGCATTTTCAGATAGCTGTTTTGACTGCATTCTAGCTATGTGATCTGACTGCAATCCAGCCTGTTCTCTCTGTGCTCGAATTTCTTCCAACTCAGTAAGAAGACCTTTAATTTTTAAATGGAGTTGGGCATTCTCACGCTGCAGCACCCTGTTTCTTTGTGCATCCTG